GATTTCTCAGGAACAAATCCTGCCAGACTAATCTGATTTCTCTTTTATTGGGTAACCTACCTGATGGACTGTGGGAATACTGTGGACATAATATATCTTGACCTCAGCAAAACTTTTGACAAAGTGTCCCATGATATCCTAATTAGCAAACCAGCTAAAAGTGGGCTAGATGGAACAGCTATCAGGTGGAGCCACAGTTGGCTAGAGGACTGAACTCAAAGAGGGCTCATCAATGGCACCTTCTCAAGCTAGTGAGAGGTAACAAGTGGGATACTGCAGGGTCCAGTGCTGTTCAACATTTGTATTAATGGTTTGGATGAAGAAGGGCAGGATATGCTTCTCAAATTTGCAGATGACACAAAACTGGGTAGGATAGCGAATACCCTGGAAGGCAGAAAGAAGATTCAAGATGATCTTGACAGGTTGAAGCACTGGGCTAAAAACAACATAATGAAATTCAGTAGGAACAAATGCCAAGTTCTGCACCTAGGAAAAAGAACCCAAATGCATCGTTACAAGATGGGCAATATTGGCTCAACAATTTTGCGGATGAGAAGCTTCTTGGAATTGTTGTAGATTACAAGCTGAATGCAAGTCAACAATGTGATATGACTGAAAAAAGGGCAAATGCCTGCAGAAAAAGAAGCATGACTTCAAAAATCCCATGAAGTACCAGCTCCCCTTTATTCAACACTGGTTAGGCCTCATCTGGAGTACTGTGACCAGTTCTAGACACCACAACCCAAGAAAGATGCAGACAAGCTTGAAAGGGTTCAGAGGATGTCAAGAAGGATCATCCAGGGACTGGAAACAAAGCCTTTCAGGAGAGATTGAAAGCACTGGGCCTGTTTGGTCTAGAGAAGAGAAGACTGAGGAGAGATAGGATAACACTCTACAAGTACTTGAAAGGGTCTCACAAAGAAGAACAGGTTGTCTTCTCAATCATCCCAGAGTGCAAGAGATGGAATAATGGGTTCATGTTACAGAAAGTCAGATTCTGGCTAGATAGCAGGAAAAAATTCTTGACTGTTAGAGCAGTATGGCAATGGAACCAATTACCTGTGGAGGTTGTGGGCTCTTCCACAACTAGTGAGGCATCTGAGAAGGATGCTCTAACTTGGGGTCCTGCAGTGGGCAGGGTGTTGGGCCCTCTGGCTCCTTCCAACTCTACTATCCTATGATTCTATAAGTTTACTTCAAAACCATCCTTGTTCAGCATTCTGTTCTGACTCTGTTTAGCTAAACAGCTTCTTATGGGAAATCTACAATGAGCACACCATTCCACTTTTATAGTGTGTTACTTGGAGGCATACTATTTTGATTCTGTATGTAATAAATAGCCACTGATAACCTTATCTTCCATGATTTGTCTAATCTTTTTTTTCAAATCCATCCATTTTGGTGACCATCAGGATAACAAATTCCACCATTTAACAATGCACCACATTAACTGTTTTTTCAGGGCTGGAATTTCCACAATTTAACTTCAGCAGATGATCTTGATTTCTACTACTATTGGAGAGGGGGAAAATACCTATTGCCTTTGCATGCACCATGCATAATGATACACACGTAATGGTATAGACATAACGGTATACACATCAATCATGTCCTCTCACTTACTCATGTATTTTCTAAGCAAAACCTCCAGCCTCATGACCACTTTGTCCTTTTCTGCACTTATTCTAACTCCACAGTTTTCTTTTTGAGAAGCAGCATTCTTCTTATGCTTAGCCTGGTCCTGCAAAGTGAGCCAAGCCAAGAGGAAGTCCACAAATGCTTGCAGACCCCTGGTTATACTACTGGCAACCTTCCCTGTCAAGAACAGCTGCAGAATGTGGAAAAGGGGTGCTGCAAGTAGATGTGCCAGACTCCCTTCCTGGCGACCATCTTTCTTTCCCACTTGTTGCTGCCAGTGCTGTCAGGGGTACATGGGGGAAAGGGGCGCTGCTTGCTCAATATGTGGGGGCTCAATACCTGGTGAACACCCCACAATTACTGGGTGCACTTGCCAGTAACTTGGACAGGACCACTACAAATCAGACTGGAGTCCCAGGAACCAAACCAGGGAATCCAATAGATTCCCACCTTCAAATGGATTCCACATACCTGCCTAGTTGGCATAGCTTGAAAAGATGCCCAAATCAAATCACATGCTCTTTCTAATGTATGGCAAATCTACTGAACATGGTTTCAGCTTTATCCTCTTGGCATTCTAGAAACAACAATGACAAAAGGAGAAGCAGCTGATATTTTATATGAGAAACAGATTATTTAGTAGATAAAACAATTCTTATTCTATTTCTCCTACTCAGGATGATACAAAAAATTCTATGCACTAATCCAAACAATATTACTTAGGGGAGTAAACACTGTATATTATGAATAGCAAAATAGCACCATCTTTTTTCTGGTACTAATGCCAATGAGACTGCTACATTATTTATTTTAAATTTTCTATCCCATTTCCAAGCCCACCCACAGGCCCTTGTTACAGCTTGCAAATTATAAAGACACACTACAATACGGTAGGATAAAAGATAAAGATGAAATGTTTAAAGCAATACTAAAAGCAAACAAGCAAAACATCTAGTGATAAAATAATTTTAAGAAACACAGCATCAGACATCAACTGCCAGTGCAAAAGACTTCTGAAACTGGAAGGTTTTCTCACTAGTTTCTAAAAATCCCCAGTGAAGTAGTTGAATAAACGTCTGATGAAAGTGAATTTGGTTCATGGAAAACTGTGAACAAATCTCTTTATCTCTGATGGCAGCTACTGACATTCATAAGCAGAGCAATCCTATGGTCCTGGAGGAGAGGGCCATCCTAAGGATAAGGATGGTACAAGGTTTCTCTCACCCATCAATCCACCAAAGAAATGGACAGAGCGACAATTGCCTAGACCCTATGGAAAGCTCTATGTCAGCAAGGTCACTCTTGTGATTTTGGAAGTGTTTAGGGAAGGAGAAAAGCATGAGGGATAGTGGTGGGGGGAAGAAGTGGAGTTGAGGGCACAATGGATCCAGAAGCCTCTCCCTTGCTGTACCACCCCCAAATGGTCAGGGAGCTAGTTGTGTTCAGAGGACCACCTTGGTTAAATTTCAATTAAGGTTGACCTGGAGGCTGTGAAAGCCTCCGTCATCCTATTTGTCCTGCCTGGCTCTTGCTGATAGGTCTTTGGATGAGCAGAGGGTTCCAATCTCCAAGACTGATTGTGCTCTTATTTATTTAAAAGAGTTGTACATCACCTCGAAGAAAACTCTTCCAACACCTGGCACAAGGCATCAGTAACCTCAACTTTCAAAAACTAGAATGGCATACCAATGCCCAGAAATCTTACCAGCGTCAAATTTTAGCTCAAAATCCATGGTTTTTAAGGGAATGGCCCATTAATGAGAATATTATTGATGCAGACAAAATCCATTCAAAGTTGGAAGGAAGATGTGAGATGTGTGAGAAGTGTTTCTCACCTTATACATGTCATGGATATTAAAAAAAAATCAATTGGTTAGTGGAATAAAAGGGCATGACCCAACCAAAGCCATCCACTCTCCTGCACAGAAGAGCTTCATACACTTGCTCAGCAGTTCCACTGGAAAAGAAATACAGTAGCGCTAAGGACGAAATCCTAGGCCTACCAACCTCTGAAAAATCTCCATTGAATTCAGTTGATTTTTTTTTTTTTTTTGAAAAACATGCATAAGATAGAGCTTTAAGTCTGGCTATGGGGTGCCCATCTGTATTTGGCCAAGGTAATGTATGGCAGTGACTTACAGACTAAGAACTCATAGGCCCTATGGAAATAACTGCTACCAAATAAAAGCCATATAACCCATGATCAACACACAAATGCAATCAAAAAAAAATACTATAAAACATTCTAAACATAATGCAATATGAAGTGTGCTCATCTACAAAACACAGGATATGTTCTCTTGGCCCAAAGTCTAGAATGAGCGCCACAAAAGCAGTCTACAACAACTGGCAAATGACCAAATCCTTGGGAAAATGAGTATGTTGGTGCCTGATGCTGAAAAGCTGAGCTTCCTTGTGGACAGCCGTTCATATAAACATGAGCCTATCATAGAAAAACCGATTCCCAGGCCTCTGAAGTTGATCTCAGAAAATGAGGAGAATTATGCTCAGATGCCTTGACTCCTCCAAGACATAGTTGTACTTTGTTTTGTACACTGTGCAAGAACCACAGCTTAAACTATTCACTAACCTAACAAAGAAGGAGACAGGGGGAGGATAGTGGATGTCGTGGCTAACTTAAGTCTCAATGCTTTCAATGGACCTACTCTAAATTTTACTAAGTCTGTATCCAACCAAACTGTTAAGCAACATTATAGTTCTTGGGATACTGCTGTATTCTAATTCCTTTTGCTCTGCTTCATCATAGTCAAGTTGATTTTATCTAGTAAATGTGCATCAAATTGTCACCCTTGCTCTGACTTTCCTTTTCTCCTTCTGTAGGGTTCCCCAACCTCTGCTGTTAGATTGTAAGCTTCCTGAAGGAGATACCTGATTATTTTTTATGAATGGTACTTTTTAAAGTGCTTTGCTCATTGGTGGTACAGTTGTTGATGTGCTTATATTTCAACAACTACTTGCTACCTTTAGGCTTCTCATCAATCTCTGCCCTTGATTCCTCTGGGGCTTGGGAAAATCAACTTTTCTTCCCCCTTTTCTCTAGCACAGAGTTTCTGAAATAGTTGAAGAAAGCTGCTAAATTCAGATAAATGATGACCTACAATTTTAGCAAAAATAACAACAAAACATCCAGCTTAAAATTCTCCGGTCACTTCCTTTGTGACTATCTAATTCACATGCATAAGAAAAAAAGGACAGTTTCATCATAATCAAAGCAACATTTTCTTCCAGTGCAAAGCAGTTGAATATAAGAAATTAGATTGACACAGGATAATAACCCAAAATTATGGAATGATGCTGACTGAACTTTAAGAAAAGAATTACTTTCGGCGTATTGTACTCACCTGAAGAGATGTCAATTTGGTTCTTCTTTGCCCCCGTTACATTGATATGAACGCTGACTTTACCCTCTATCAGATCGATCTCTACAGTGCCCAGTCCTTCAGCAAAGTTGCTGAACAGCAGAAGTCCACTTGGATTCCAGGTTCGAAACTGAAAGCTGACTGAAAATATATCCTGATTTGGACGACCAGGGACTTCCAGGAAACTGGTAGCATTGAAAAAGACAGGCACAGTATGGGGCTCCACACATGAAAAACTTAAATTCCCCTATTTAAAAACAAACAAAAACACATATGTGTAAAACCTTCTATAGCTCTATTGACAGATAGTTTTTTAAACATACAGATCAAGTTCTTTCTGAATTTCCTAGTAAAGATGGATACAAAAGAGAACATACTAATCCACTGGAAGATAGGAGGAAATTAACCCCCTTAAATTTTTTTGTCTGTCATACTTAAACTCGTTTTAACTTGCCTCCAACCCTCTCAGCCGTTTGACCTGAGAAATCTGAATTTCTTGCTAATTTAGCCACACTTGGAAAGCATGTGCTATTATCATTTGATGTTTTTACAGAGTTTTCCAATGTTCAAAGGGTTTCATATGCATTTATCTCCGGTGCCAGCTCCTACAAGAGGCAGGTGAGCTATACCTTTCCCAACATTGCCAGAAGGCCTCTGCATTGCTGCAAAACTAGAGCAAGCCAGGGGCCCTAGCAGGTGCTCCTGAGAGTCCCACCACTGTCCCCGCTCATGCACACAGCAGCTGGCAGAGGTCTACAAAGCAGCTGGCCACTCTCCGTTTTGTTCTGGAAAGGTTCTCAGAGTGAGACAGAGAACAGGCAGCAGTTGCTGTGAGGAACTGCCAGACCCCTGGCTCACTCTAAGATCCCTCTCACAGCAAGCGAGACAGCTGCTTTAATGCAATGGTATCCCATGTAAGCCAGGCAATGTCCTTGGACATCTCTCTAATCGATGGCTGGTTCTGAGGAAGGACCCCTCACAGCCAAGCATTTTAGACCAGAAACTCTGTGAACAGATCTGCTGGTTTCCTTTGACAGCCGATACAGCTCTTAAGAAAGCCCATCCTGTGTCTCACTCTACTCAGAGTGAGCCATAGTGCAAGCAAGTGAATGGAGCTGGGACATGTATCTTAACAGTAGCAGCTACAAATGAAATTTAGCCACTGGGGTGCTCTGTAGGAGCAAATTTGAGCAGCAAATTGACATTTTTGATCCTTTATTTTGTGTGTGTGTGGAGTGGGGGGGGGGGAGTGTTCCAGGGAATGGATGGCACCCCATGGAATGCAACCTGCAGTGGTGATCCACGGGGAGAAAATGACCCTTAGACACCCGGATAGTGTCTACTTCACTTTATACCCCCAAAGCAGGGTGGATATACACACAGTTACTGAGCCTTCCTAAGCTGATTAAGAATGATCCACTAATACAAAATCAATACATGAAGGCCTCGGAATCTCCTCCAGGACATTTTCTCATACACCTACTTCTCTCGTGCTACCTTTATTTATTTCATTTGAGTTCAATACCACCCCACAGCTGAAGCTCTCTGGGTGGTTTACAACTTTCCAAGGCTTTTCCACTCATCAGCAGTGCTTTGTTTTGGTTCTTTGCTCTGCTCTGTCCATCATGGTACCGCGTCTGAATACACAAAGTTAGAAAAATGAAATATAAGCACAAGAATTTCTGTGCAGCTGGATTTACATATGTCTTTTTCATAAAGGTAAGAAGGCCAGGTATCCATGATAAACAATGGAGAGAGAACCAGGAAAGGGAAAGCAACGTTGTCCCCATTTGGCAGTCAGATGAATAAATAGATTCAACTGAGATCCCTCATGGGTGAGATGCCTGGTTCAATTCTCCGGCTTTACGTTTTTCAGATCGTTTTCTGAATGAACATGCTATTTCTAGGGAAAAATGCAGTGGATAAAGTGAGGAATGGTTATGTATGGAGTATGAGATTCAAGAAACCCAATTTGTAACATATTCATCACTGAGTTTAGCATTCCAGCTAATGTGGGCATTCTGGCAAAACACGCAATCCTCTTCCTTCACTAACCATGCCACGGAATATTTTTTGTTACAGGACTGACAGTTGCACATTGGAAACAGCTCTGTTACGGTCTCTTCTGGATGAAATACATCAGGCATATTTCATGCATACTATAAGATTTATTGCTAATGGATAAGCAGGAAGATTTTTAAAAGAAAGCAGAGGGACCTAATGAGACAGAAAATGATGGCAGATACATGGCCTTATTCGTTTTGGGTCTGATGTTATGGTGGCCTTTTTATTTAGCTCAACTGCATTAAAATGCCAACCTTCTAGGGGAATGCCATCTTTAATTTGATTTTATATCTATTAAGTAGGAAAACAAAATAAACAAACACAACGGTTTTGTCCATGGCATGCCCTCATTTTCTCTGCCACAAAACTTGACCACGTAGGTGTCATTTCTATGGCATTTGGGAAAGTGAGTGAAATATAATGGTCAATAGTGACCTGAAATCTATCATGATTCACATATGGGGTAGCCACAGGTACGTTGGCACACACAGGCACTTCAACAGCACCCACAATGCAGTCCTTAAAGTGGTACATGTGGGTACCTAAATATTCTTTAATTTGTGCTTTAATTTCTCCATGCTTTTAAAGTGTACATATATGGGTTTGTATGAAATGCATACAGCTTCCTAGCAATTGCACACAGACTTCAACAAAGGGAACTAAACAACCTCCCACGGATCCAACCATTTATATATCAAAAGCATTGTAACTTCGTTGGTCTTTTGCTTTATAGGAACTGACAGCTTATTCTTCCAGTGCTGTAGTATTAATCTTCGCACTGTCAAAAGGGGACAAAGGGTCATATTATGGGGACCACTTTTTTTTAAAAAAATCCACAAAACATGTAAATAATTTAGAAGTGTATCCCTCAGTTAATATTACATATTTTTCCAGCATAAAATTGATCTGCATAATTATTAGTGTTGCAATGGAGGGCCACAGGTTCTGTCCCTTTTCAGTCGGCGGACTTTTGTCATGTTTGACTTTGTCTTAGAAAGTGAGCTAAGCCAAGAGGAAGCCCATGAGCATTCATGGACCTCTGGTTGTCCAACTGGCAAGCTTCTTCCATGTCAGATGCAAGACAAAGGCTGCAAATCATGTGTGTGCAAGAGGTATGCCGCTTGCATAGTGGTTGCGCAGGACTTGATTCCTGGAACGCACCACTTGAATGCTCAATGTGCTCACAGGAAGTCAGACTGCGAGAATATGGGCTGGGATGTGCACGCAGGAAATCCTCCAAAACAGAGCTTTCACATGTGCCTAGTAGCTGCCCCTTAGCTACAAAAAGAATTAACTGTCACTGCCAAAACATGGTTTAAAGAAGCATCAGCTGTGCTGCACCACCAGCAATCAGCTGAATTAGGTTAGGCAATGGCTTATTCAAGAGAATTTGTAGTGTCCAATAGACATGGACACTTGTAGTGTCCAAGTGTCCAACACTTTTGCTGCCTAAGACACAGCCTAAGGTCCAGGTATGCAAAAGTGGTGATCCAGTGATTTGGTATTTTGTGGTGGTGCCTACAGCAGTTTTTCAAATTCCTGGATGTGCCCATGGGTCCAATGATTGAGGACTCATGCCCTAGGTCAAGCCAATCCCACTCAGCCTCACCGCCCCTTCGTACAGGGTTTAGTCATAATTATACCGGCCTAGCTTACATGGTCCAAGTTTGTTGAAGGGATTACTGGAATACTGCATGTAAACATGTTGAAGACCAAAAACATGGCTGTGTCAGACGTCCAAGGATCAATATGTCTGATGTGATGAAAAGGTTTGAAAGAGCATCAAATGCTTTCTGAAAGACTTTGAGAACCCTGCCATGTCCATTCTGGTTTGCCATTCCACTGTCCCCAGATACCTGATGCTTCTACCCCATTTTTTGTTCAAAACATCTTCCTAGTAGCAGTGCTGGATCACATGTATCTATATGAAGATTGTTACTGCCATTAGAAAGAAGGCTGGTCCAGGAGTGGGTGGTGATAGCTCCAAAGATAATGTGGCCCAGAGTTGTGAAGATGCTGCTACTGCAGCTGAAATAACAGGTATAGGGAGTGCAGGACCTCGAATACAATCAAGAAGTGGCCTGCAGAGGGACAGCAAGCCTTCTCCACCAAAGTCACGAAAAGGAAGGCACTTTTCATAGAGGGAGAAATTATTAATGAAAAAGTGCCCCCCTTTGAAGGTCACCTTTTATCGAAGCTGGTGACTTTGCATAGAAATGTTCTGGGCTTTGTTACTAGCTTTATAAATTGCCTCAGGGGCCAAATTAGAGGGACTGAGAGGAGGAAAATCATGCCATTCATTCAGTCCATCAAACATGGTTGCTGTTGTTACATAAGGTTTATTCTGTCTTTATTTATTTATAAATATTTATTTATTCTGGAAAGACCAAATGCGGTGAGCATTTAGATTATGTAAGTGGTGCTTCATAGTCACCATGCATACTACAGAACCTTTAAACTGCAAGAAAATCTGGTCCAGAGGACATTCTCCTGACTGCATGGTGGTCAAGGTTCCAGGCCAGGCCAGAATCCGTTAGAGCACAGAACCACAAAAAGTGCATAGCATATTATGAAAATTATTAATGTTGTAGCCCTATGTGGTTGGAGTTGAATAATTCTTTCCCTGGACCAATTCCTCTGTAATATGTCTGCTCCCAAATTAAGTTATTATATGTTGCCTTTTTTTCCCTCTTGTGAGAATGCCAACGCGGCTTAAACACCCCCATTGTACCGTCACAACAGCAATCCTGTGAGTTAGGTAAGGCTGATGGTGCCCAAAGTTACCCAGGGAGCTTTAAGGCCACATGGGTCCCAGAACCCAGATCTCCTGCCCATCTCCACATCACATTGGCTTGTAGACCTTCAGACATTCAGTGAAGAAGGCCTGTGAAAGTGTATGCTTGGGACTCCTCAATTTGCTGCCTTCCCTTACCAGACAAGATTTCTTTGTAGCTCCCCCTGATCCATGCTGGCAAGTCCACATGCCACATTTGCTTACTGCTCAGTCTGTACAATCTTCTCATTTGTCCAGAGTGAGCAGCAGTTGTAACTGCAAACAAGATTCAGGCATGAGATGAGTGGTGAGAGGAGGCTTAAAGAATTTTAGCGATGCTCATTCACCCATGTCTATGTGTACCCACTTGACAAATGGTCACTGGTGCTCACTCTGTATCTCAGTCTAAGGCTGGCAATAGATTGAGAACATAGGCTAAGCCCACCCATTGCACTGTGAGCTTCTTGGAGGAAGAAGGGCAAGACTAAAGTATGATTGCCAGGGATGTTAACACCAATGGTCAGGCTAGCTTGTCTAACTCTGAGGGACAAAAAAACCACCAGCAAGGTCCAACAGAAAAACTCTTTCCTGAAATATGCACAGAGCAAAGAGACCAGCCACCCCAATTTACAATCCAAATGTTTTTATACCTTTGAGAGCCAACTCATCAATCAATAATCTTGACCCATCCCCATCTACTCTTTGGTCTTGCCCTCTGTCCAAATAGCCTTTGATGGTAGGACATGCTGTTACACCACATCCCACACTTATTTAAATATGGATAGACAAGCAGTGTTTAATTAACTGAAGTAAATGCTTGTGTAAGAATGTAGGCGCTTGTGTAAGAATGTATGCACACCTATGTGCAAGTCCTTGGAGAAATGAAGGAAGTGCTGCAGTGTGTTAGTTTTTGAATTCTTTACCAAAAGTGGTGTGATGGTAGGGGTTTGGACTAGCTCCAGAAAAGGTGAAAGTTTGGGACTTGAGGGAGGAATGGGGAGGGGAAAGTTTGTGAACATAATCAAATGCTCAAAATTCCTTTTAAGGGATCCCCTCCTTAGATCTGGGTGATGTGCCGGAACTGTCCTTATTATTCATTACAAAAACTTAAAATGGGCTATTTCACACTTACAGTAAAATAAGTTCAGAATTATTTTAAAAATAGATTTGGAGCCAGGTATAATGTAGCATTTCTTTTAGAATTCTAAATGTATGCATAAAATCTCAACCTTTTTTTTAAAATGCTAAACCAATCCCATGGGGCATTAACAAGAATGAAGAGAGTGAGAAGGAGAGAAATGAAAATCTATGCTGATTTAATTAGAAGAAAATTGATCTTGTTTTCTTAGAGGTAAGGCAATAGAAGTAACTCAGCTTGAAACAAAGGAGATGGCAATTTTTATAGCCTCTCTTTGCTCTGGAAATCAAGGGAGCCTTCACATTATACCAGCTCACAATTGCCTCTTGCTAAAGCAATCATGCATTACAAATACTGCATATATAAGGTCTGGCTGTGGTGTTAATAATAGGAAAATGTTAAAAAAAAAACCCCAAACAAACACACACATCTGCAAAAGGGAGAATTGTATTCTGTTGTTTTTCTCAGGGAAAACCTATCTGTTGCAGATTGGAATCACTTGCCCCAGGTTCTTGACCTTTTAAGGATCAATTTGCAATAGCCACATTATGCCATCATACCTACTGAATGTGGCTAGGGCCGAGCACACAGATGTTGCCTAGCAACCCTGTGATAAGCTGCTCAACCACCTCCAGGCTAGATTAGAGGTAGCTGGCCAGAGGTGAATCACAGTCATGTGACCCCATCTCAGATATTAAAAATGGAGAGAGGAAATGCGTATGAAACAAGGCTTATGGACTTCCTGAGTTATGGACCAAGGAGTGAAAGGAGTTAGAAGCCAACAGAGATGCACAGGAAAGTGGGATATCAGGAGAGGAGGAGGAGGAAGAGGAAGCAGAAGCAGAGAGAGATAGCAGATCCAGAGAGACAGTGCTCAGGTACAGAGCTAAAGACTACAGGTCCCAAGAGAGGGTGGCAAAGTGGGTATAAGAAGGCTGGAATGGGATGTGTGGGGTGTGCAAGTGCTTTAAAAAGAAACTGCAATTGGAACACACACCATTCAGCTGGGTAGCTCACTGAAAGCTCAACTTGATTTAAAACCCACTTTCTAGGTGATGGACTTTGGCTAAGGAATACAGCACTGTGCTGAGCAGCATGTTTCTGTACGATTGCTGTCACAGCACTCCATGCAACATATAGATCCGTCATCCATTTTGTTAGGTATGATTATGAATTGTGCTGTCAACCCATCTCCTAATGGGGTGGTTCTTATCTGTATGATATGTAACTGTGGAATCTATCTCATCCATGTGATGGAAAATGTATACACTATCCAATGATACTGCAGGCCAACCCTGGAGGGAGCAACAAGGTCTCTTGTAAAGCTGGGCCATGAAGAGGGAACTGTATGAGGAATTCTTAGTGCATAGCTTAAAATTCTCCTCAAGACTGCTGTCATTCCAAATGGCTCTCTGGTTTCTGAGTTTAGGTACTAATGTTTCAAGATATTGCTCACTGTTAAAAAAAAAAAAAGACAGAAAAGCCATGTGTCGGTACTTCCCTATCCTCCAAAGCTATTAAAATCCCAAATATGCTAAAGGAAATTGCCTTTTCTACTGATAGTCTGTGAGGTTAAAAGGACCCATTCAGCTGATGAGGAAATCCCTTGCATTATAGGAAAACATTTCAAGGGTTCTTTTTTTCCCCAATGAACACATTTGCCTTTAAAGTTGCTTAAAATTCTTCACATGTATGTTGAGATATTTTAAGAAGCAAGGCATGGTGCTGGAGTTGCAGGTGTACACAAAACACATGTAAACTGCTGTGTTTCATTTTAGATGAGTACAAAGTAACATACTCACCACATTAGAGGGCTCCAATTTCTTCCTCCTGGCCATATCTGTGATATTATTGGTATTGTAGATTATGCTCTCCATGCAGCCTTTGAAATTCTTTCTGCTGCTTGAACTTGGCTTCCCAGAAGAAGGCATGCCACCAAAAGTTATCTTTGAATAGAAAAATGAAATCTTTTTGTTATAAATCAGAACACAGATCATGGTGCTGACTCCCTCAGCCCCAACTTATTTTAGCGAGTCTATTTAAATGAGAACCACAGATAACATTAAGTAAAGCAAATCTATTCAGATTTATTTTAGTGAACACCTAGCTGCACAAATCAATCAGAAACCTATGTCGTGAGCGGAACCGGCTAGAGCCGAGGGTCAGACTAGATAGCCCAGGAGATCCCTTCTGACTTGCTATGTTTCTAACATGGCTTGGATCTAGTGATGGGACATGGCATTAGATGTGTGCATGGTGTTGCCTCACCACTACACAGAGTTTTCCTGGATCCGTCAATGGAGAAAGCTCTGCATGTGCAAAGGTTAGCACATAAGGAGCAGCGCTGTTCCTTGAAATGAGATTTTAAGAGCAATAATGAGGTGAAGCCATATGAAACAGCATTGCTGAAGCTAAACACATCAGGATATAGAGACTACCTGGCCAGGGGATCACCAAGGGACCATGCATAAACTGTTCTTTATTTCTTGTTTTTGTCTTCAAGTATGCCTTTCTTGTTTCTTGTTTGCCTTTAATAGGATGAGCATTACATTGCAAGCAGACATAGCTTGGATCCTAACTTCCTCAATTGTGAATGGAATGTTTTCTTGCCTTCCCTTTCCCAGACCCCTGCACCACCCAGAGTTCTGGCTTATCATGTGTGAACATGGCTAGAGCATAAAAATACTCCAGCTGAATCCAAGTGATGGCATCAAGCAAGCAAACACCAATGTGTTTGAGTATTCAACTGCTCCCTAGAATATCCTCCGCATGGCAAGACTATTTTGTATGCAGACCCATACTAAGGATTTAAATGTTCACAGAGCAAAGTAATTAGAGAGGTGCTCCACTGTAGCTGAATGCGCAGCAAGATGTAGCTACATTGGAGAGCTGTCTGGGCAGACTCTGCAGTGGAATTCCTGCGCTAGACTTTACACATTCTGTTACTTCCCATAAATGTCAATGGAAATAGCACTGCAGTAGTGCCAGGATGGAATCTGTATCCTAGGCAAAGCTGGCTAGAGGGTCCAAAAGTTTGTGCATAATTTAGAAGGATGAAGAAACTCATCACAATTGCAGGGCTGTTAAATATAAGGCTCGGAGCCTAACCAGACCTTTCGCGGTCCTCACTAAGGCACTCCCCCATGCAAATTATTGAATGAAGGCTTTGGGGCTAGGAAGACATGATCCATGATGGAAAATAGTTGTGATGACTGCATTTCTCAGCTTCTTCCACCATTCCTTGATGAATAACAAGTTAGCAAGGGCTGAGAGGACCATGCAGTACCCTGAGGCAGGAGACTGCAGCATGTGGACTAACATGTGCAGCAGGCCCATGGGAAATCTTTGGTTGTGAAATGACAGAGCTGGCTCATGGAACTGCCTGACAGAGATGTGTTGGCTTGCAGCACAGAGCTGGGAGGGGTGCAAGAAGATCTGGTGAGAAAACAGTGGCATACGAAAGGGAGCTCAGAGGGTGGAAGCTTCCATGGATTTATGTAGAATTTCGCCAGCCATCCCATTGTTTCCCATGGGAGCCTAGAAGCAACAGAGTTACCCACCCATGGGAAATTCTACCTTTCCATAAGGGTGAAGACAATAGAATCCCAAACCAGAGTTTCCCAGAAAAAGCACTGGCTGCCTTGAGAGGGTGTGGTGGTTGATTCTCATATAGTTCCAAGACAGGGTAAGGAAATTTATTTTGATGTATTTTCTACCCAAGCACTCAAAATGTGCATTTCTGTGCTATCTGGCTGGAGGAGCTCAATATATTGATGAGATATTAAATTCCATTTTAAATTACTATTAACCTTATACCCATCTTTACAAAGGATAAAAAGAAAGAACCTGGATACTACAGTCCAATCAGCTTGACTTCAATCCTTGGGAAAATTCTGGAGTAGATTAGAAAGTGGTCAGTCTACAAACACCTTGAAAATAATGCATTGATTACTGGAAGCCAACATGGATTTGCAAGAACAAATCCTGCTGGACTAATCTGATCTCATTTTGTGATTGGATAAGCTCCTTTGTGGATTGTGGGCATGCTGTGGACATAATATATCTTGACTTCAGCAATGCTTTTCACAAAGCACCCCCTGATATCCTGCTTAGCAAACCAGCTAAAAATGGGCTAGATGGAACAGCTATCAGGCAGATTCACAACAGGCTACAAAATTGGACCCAAAGGGTGTTTATCAGTGGCACATCCTCAAACTATGGAGAGCTAATGAATAAGGTACCACAGAGTTTAGTACTGGACTCATTGTTCCTCAACATTTTTATTAATGATATGGATGAGGAGGTACACAGAATGCTTATCAAAGCTGCAGGTAACACAAAATGGTGTTGCATAGCTAATACCCTGGAAGATACAAACAACATTCAAAGCAATCCTCACAGGTTGGAGTGCTGAGTTGAAAACAAAAGAAGGAAATTTAATTACTTAATTTCATTAAGTAATTAATGTTCTGCATCTAGGAAGAAGAAACCAAATGCATAGTTATAAGCTGGGGGATACTTGGCTTAATGATACTACAAATGAGAAAGGTCTTTGAATTGTTGCAGATTACAAGTTAAATATGAATCAATAGCGTGATGTGGCTGCAAAAAGGCAAATGCTATTTTGGGTTGCATTAAGAGAAGTATCACTTCCAAATCACTAAAAGTACTAATTCCCCTCTACTCAGGGCAGGTTTTCACTGGGGGCAGTGTGTCCAGTTCTGGAAACCACAGTTTAAGAAAGATTCAGACAAACTGGGAAAGATTTGGAAGAGGGCAACAAAGATGATCCAAGGACTGGAAACAAAGCCCAATGATGATTATGCATCTGTTGGATGGGAAATTGACTGTCCAATCCATCTGTGTCTGACTCCCTGGATATATTACAAGTTTTACACATATACATATCTCAAAAGAACATGGCTATGTTCAGGGTTAGATTCTGTAGACACCGAAATTAATGGCAGAACTTTACCGAGATTAATGAAGGAAAAACAAGACTCCCTAAATAACTTGGGATTTTGTTCTAATGACAAGGTTATTGTCATTCACTTCACAGTATATAATGTTTCATTTTCCATAAATCAGTTAGTGGTTTAGACTTAAACATTATGACTCTTAAGGGAAGTATTCTGGGCTTAGATGTGTTGGCATTTTTCTAAAATATAACTATCCCTGGCTGTTTGTTTTTTTTAACCAGTTCAGTGAGTACCAGCATAGGTGATGTCAGCTACGTTCATTCCTCACTCCGCCCATGACCAATTGAATTGTGACCCCCTTTCAATATCCACAGTATCTCACTAACCAGTCATAGAAAGCACATGTATTTGAGTGCCTTTGTACCTGAAATGATGATGACACTTACTTCTGTGAACAACAATGGATGGAATGTCATACCTCATAATCCAGGTCCAGGTAATCAAATTCCCCATTGATTCGGAAATGCTGCAAGTGTCTATCAAGTGTGAGATTGATGTTCCTCCCATGACGTTCTATCACTACAGAATGCCAGTGGTTGTCATCCAAGAGGCTACCTGTAGTCACAGATGTGTGGCCGTAAATGGAGCCATATTGGTTGCTTCCTGGCATAGGGAAGAAGAAAACAAAATATTGAATACTTCAGCTTGAATGCCTTTGTCATATTACTGTCCCTCAAGAACCATATTGCTATGCTGGAATGGCAAGCCAGTAGCTACAAAACAGATAGGATCCAGATTGCAATAGTATATAGTTTTGGTGCCAAAACAATGGGACTGAATCAACAAAACCTTGTGACTTCTTTAAAGGGCTACAGTTCTTTTCCTGACACAAGCTTTGCTGAATTAGCATTCACTTCTTCATATTCCTGTCATGCTATCTTAAGTTCCACATATAGTATGTGTGTTACACATGGGAAGAAGCAGGGAGAATTGTAAACAGTGAGGTCAGATGAAAATTGAATATGGAAAGTACAGAGACAATTATATAATTACAAGTAACTATTCACAAAAGAGTGTTGGTGACAATGCAAATAACCTGGCATTGGTAAGCTAATTAAAACAGGTAGTGTGATCGTGATTCAAGCTAGGCGAGTACTATAACTGTTTGATAAATTGACATCCAGCAATTTCATATTCTAGTTATCTTTCAAAATTCCTTTACTTCATAGTTAGCCACCTTAAGGTCAGTGGTAGAATATCCTGAAAAATGGAAACATTCTCCCACTGATTTCTGAATGTCAGTATTAATTGTGAGGCTGTTTGTCTTTTGAAGGAAGACATTGCTAACTGACAGCCTATATCACACTTGATGATGAGCAGGTGAATGCAACTTTGATGCTGGAGCTGATGTTATTCGGACCTGTAATACTGTTGCCTGGGGACAGGCTGGCATTTGGATTGCTGCAGATTTGGTCTCTGTGGCTGTGTCTCTTCTGTGGCCTATCCTTGCTGACAGGAAGCTATTTCATGTTAGGGGGTCTGTCTGTAAAAAATGCCCCACTATCCAAAGTCTGTAAAAAATGCCCCACTATCCAAAATGGAAGTACCATTTTCCAGAATGGGCTCTGATCCTTGAGGATACACTAGAATGGTTTTAACTGAGACCCATAGGCAAAAACAAATGATATACATCTGCATATGTCCCTATGAAAATCCCATGGGGAGCATTATTTACTGAAAGGGACTAAAATTTTGACAACTCTGGCTGTCAAATCTCTATGATAAAAGGAGATGTATTTTTTCATCTCTCCAAACAGTTAGGGAATGGGTGGAAATGTTAAAGGCACTATTTGGGACCTACCAGAGAAATACATACTTGTACGTTCTTTGAGAATACTAGTGCCAAGGAGGGATAAATCTGTGGGCAAAGTTTGCATGTGTCTTTGCTTTGAATTGTCAGCTCATAGTTTGAGAGCTGTCAAGACAAAGCAAAAGGTAATGCCCCCAAAAGCAACTTCCATAGCCCAAACCAATTACAATTGCAAGACTCCCTGGGTTAGCCTCTATGGTTGGTACTTGCTGCAGGTGAGGTTACCCATTATTATGACCATGGAAATGTGCCCACCTGCACTTCCAGAATTGTGCATTTCCAGCTTAAAAAAATAATGAAACTATTTGCACACATTTCAGGTGAAAAATTAACAAGAGGCAGCAAACAACTGATCATCCCTCCTGTGGACATTTCTAAACAGAGATCGTGAAAAGTAGTATTTGAGGGTGAGGAAGAGAAAAATGCTGCAGCAAGCAAAAGAGCTCCTGATTGCGGGGTGGAGGTGCGTGTTTGCAATGAGTCAGTGGTGGTCATTTCACCATGCCACTTGGGCATCAGTGGATCTTGGCAAGAGCTGCAAGGGATGTTTGCTGCTCTTGCCAAACAGTTGGTTCATCATTTGTTCAAAACACAAGGGTGGGGGTAATGGTTCAAGTTTAGAGGATATGCCAAGCCATATCAAGGAACGTCTCTTTCCCTATATGCTCTTGTGCCCCCTAAGATCTGTAGAAGAGGCTCTGCTCCAGGAACCCTCCCTGAAGGAGGTAAAGAGGGTGTCTACCTGGAGGAGGGCCTTCTCTGGGGTGGCGCCCAGATTGTGGAATGCGCTCCCCAGAGAGGTTTGCCTGGTGCCAACTTTATATTCCTTTCGGTGTCAGGTGAAAAGATTTTTATTGACCCACTACGTTAACGATTGAGAAAGTTTAGTTGGTTTTAATACTGACAGTCACATTTTGTTTTTGTTGGTATTATGTATGTAGTTATTTATTATTATTTATTGCCTTGTCTATTTATTGTTTTAATTCTTGTAAGCCGTCCTGGAATGATTTTCATATAGGATGGGGTAGAAATATTCTAAATAAATAAAAATGGGTGAAGCAAAACATACTACAAATAAAGGATTCTCCAGGCATCTTGTTGGGAAAAATAAGACAAAAACAAGAACAAGGCAACTTAAGGAAAGCAGTCTAAGTCTGGAGAACTTGGGAAACAACCATGGATCACTGTGCATCATGAATTGTCCAAAAGAAGCATTGTTGTGATTGTGATCTTGTAGTGTTGACTTGTCTGATTTTTGGAAGCATGCTGCTTCTGAACAAGGAGGCTTTATTTAATTATCATGGCTAAAAGAAACTGAAAGACATGTCCCAGTATGAAGAGCTGAATTGTTTCCAATTATGTTGTTAATATGCAAGGTATTGGTGGAGAAGAGAGGGGACATGAAGCCATTTCCCTACTCGACTGAAGACCACTACCAGAAATTTCCTCCTCCTTCACCTGCTACCAGCAGCAGCCATTCCAGGGAAGTAAAGGAAGCCGAGCCATTTCATCATCCCTGCTAAAGGGCTTTTCTTCTTCCTGCCTCATCCCTTTTTTCTTGGGCACTGTGCCTTTTTAGACTGAGTCTTTAAGACTGTCATTCCTTACTGATCATATGCAAGCCAGCCAAGAAAACTTTTTGGATGAGGAGCAGAATAAAAATATTGAAAATAAATAAAGAAAGAAATATTTAGCCATGGGACACTGGCAAGAAAAGATTTTTAATGGCCAAAAGAGGAGAGCGATGAAGCAGTAAATCACGTCTAAGCCGTGTTGCGCAGTGACCTTCTGCATTTTTTAAATGTTCTGACTGCAGCCTAAACTTGTGTTAAAGGATTCTCAGGATCTAATTTCTCATCTTAGTAGACCCTTGCTAACCCCATTTCTGACCTGAGAGTATATATTCTCACCTCACTAAGCACATATGCAAGAGATGTCATTTATCATACTGATATCTGCTTGACTGAACTGAGAAATGTACGGGAAAGAAATAGAAATCATTAGAATTTCAATGACATTTGTCAGAAACCATTTGTACTGGTGAAGCTATGCTATCTTCATTTGCATGAAGCAAACCTGATGCTATTTTGACCAAAAGAAGAAAGGAAACTTAGAAGAAGAGTAGGGAAACTCAGGTTCAGATTTCCACCTAGCCATGAAGTCCACTAAGTTTTCTTGACCTAGTCAGATTCTCCTTAGGCTCACATCTTCACAGAGCAGGCTGGGTTGGCCACTTATGCCTTTTTGATCTCCTCGAAGGAACACTGGAATGTAATAAATAGATGATGTGTGACATTAATGCCACTGACTGTGACAGAAATTAAGGGAGCTGTTATTGTTCCCAGAACTGCAGGATTACAGGTCAGATAATATGAATCCTGCTGAATCAGACCAAAGCCTATTTAGTCTAGCATCTTGTTCCCACAGTAGCTAACTAGATGTCTACAGGAAGCCTACAAGCAGGACAGGAGTGTAATATCACGCTCCAGTTCATATTTCCAGTAACTGATATTAATGTCAGCCACTGGTATCACCCACCCTGCTGGTTCCTCAGAATATGGTCCCAGAATATTGGAGATCAGTTGGACATATATGCACAAATGTGTTGTGCTATTAACTATGGGGAACATTCTTGCCTCTGCACATATTCAAGGACTGCTTGGATGCATAAGGAGAGCCAGGAAGACCATGGGCAATGATGAGTATTGGTCAGCAGCTGCCATATGGGCTGGGCTCCTGAATCTTTTGCAGTTGAGCTGCCAAGTTGTATTTCTACTCAATTATGCTTATTGTGCAAACTGTGAAGAAGCAAACTCTGCCTCTGGCTACAGAAGGTATCTTCTTGCAGCCAAAAGGGACAAATGTTCCATCCAGGCTTTGCATTACACAGTATCTTATAAGCTTCAGTTAATTCTTTGGATTAGAGCATCCTGAAACTGCGTTGTCACAAAACTGATGCCATCTGCTATAGGTTCCCTTCTCAAGCTGTCTCTTCTTCCAAAGTGAGCCTTTCCCTAAGGTAACCTCCCTGGCTGCAACGCTCCTTGAGCACTTTGTGACCCAGCATTGTCTCTCCCTTTTGAATTGGTCTTCAGCTCTAGAGTTTCATATTCCTTCTTCTTACTAGGATCCAGCATTCCCATGGGTTCATCAGAGCACTCAGCTTGGTTGTCCTCTCAAAGATTGGACAATGGATGGGTCCCCTCTGCTATTCTTGCAGCACGCCCATGGTGCCTACACAACACCTCCTCCCTCCCTATCCCTTTCTGTCTCAGAATGAATTCTTGTGCCTTTTTGGAGCTTATTTAGGGAGGTACTGAATCCAGTCCATTGAATCATACAGCACCTTTGCAGGTGGTCAGTGGATGGGAGAAAATGAATGCCATCACCTTGGGGATCTTCTAGTCCCCATCTCTCAGGCCCCCTCTCCTGTTTAGTGGCATTCTTACAGAAGAATAATCTGTGGATTCTGTTACCACCTTCCTCACTCTGATACAGCCACTTCTCCATTATCTGGTCTGTCTGCCCTTCTTACACTAATTCAGGAAAGTATGAAGGTTCACAGCAGGGTTCTAAATCATATGTAGAACCTGCATAGGTAGAGTGGAATTGGCACTTCAGACCAGAAGGCACCAGTGTGTGGAGGGACTGGGTGATGGGGACAGACAGAGTGGGCCAGGCTAGCAAGTGCAGCTCCACAAATGATGGAGGAATCACGAGATCTCAGAATAAGGCTCCAAGGGCAGTCCTAGAGATAGTCTAAAGCCACAATCCAGAATGCGCATCTTCTTCTGAAACCAGCATTTCAAGGACATTGCAGGTAAAATTTGGCTCAATATTCTTGTTCCCATTGCTAGACAAAAGCTCTTAAAATCTAGCTATATTCATTTTACGCATGATTGTTCACTGTGCCACAAAGCTGGTTTTAATTCTTTCTTCTAGTGGTGCTAAACAAGAGAAAGCAGAAATGATAAGGAAAGGGGTAAAGTTTAGTGTTGAATCTGTCAACCTAAAGCAAGGGAAACAGTCAGATTAAAAAACAAAACTCAAGCCATACCTAAATTTAAATTAAGGACCAGCCTGGCCTTTTTCAGTTCAAGGGTGATATAATCTCCTTGCTGGCCTTCCCCATGGAAGATTACACCTTCGCTTTCAGAGGTTTTAAATTTCAGAGCAATGACATCTTTCAGCGTTTTCAGTGTTTTCTTCTTGTGTCCAAATCTGTATGGCAATACAACATGGCCATCAAAATTGATAACATCGGCCCCTAAAGGGAAAAATAAATAAAATGGTTGCTGAGCAGTTAGGCATTGCTGGGGCCATCCAAAAACAAAAGCACATACATTTTGAGCATGCAATAAATGTAGTATGTGTCCTGGAAACATTTTCTACTGGCTATAATTTACTAAAAGAATGTACAATGACACAGTGTCTTAATATATTATTTAATATTGTGGGCTTTCCCACCCGCTAACTGATGAATTAGATACAATACAGTCCATCCTCAAAATAAATAATGGTCTCAGCTTCAACTTAAAAGTCTGCTTGTGCCCTCTGGTTACTGATTCCTATGTAACAGTTTGCGAAGTATTTCAAACATTCAGCCACAGTATCAACCACCAAATCCCTAAAATGCACCAGGGAAATTACAGAGGGAATCTACAAATAGCTGACCAGTCTGTGTGCTGCACCCCAAGTAACAATTTCTGGATGACCCGACATGTAAACCTCCCTTCTGTCTGTACATCTAATTTAAATTTTGGCCACTGCACAGAGACCATTGAAAAGTGATTGCCTTTGTTGGTCATCAATTTTAAAAGGCACTTCATCTTCGCAATAGCTCAAGTCTGCTTGTGTGTTGCCTGAAGACAGTAAATAATAATGTAGTTGACACTAAAAGGTTAGGGTTTATGGAAATGTGGGGCACGTGCTGCCTTTTTGCAGTGTCTCCCAGAATGCTTTGCTGCTCACCAGGGAAGTAAACTTCTTGCCTAGGTTATCGTAAGCAGCAGAACTCAACAAGCCTATGTGATACCATCTGATTATTACTGAATATGATTTCACCTGGGTTAAAAAGAACAGCATATATTAAGAGCAACAGAGTTCATAGTGGAGGGAAAGGGTTGATAAACTGAGAATGTAGAAGGACATGGGAAGATTTGGGTCAGCAGGGCATTGGAACTGGTGTTCATATCACCACAGGCAAGAAGCCTGTCAGAATCAGAGGTTTTGAATTTATATCACAACAGACCCAAGTTGTTAAACATTTATATGTACGTGCACAGTAGCTTAAGATAAGCTATGCAAGAGTGCAGAATTTAAAAGCACATATTTTACAAGCAGTGAAGCAGCACTGGCCCGTTTTCATGTCCATCCAACACCTCACCTCAGCAGGATTTCTCCCATTCTCTAGAGTCTAGAGGAAAATTAAACTCTAAGTGAGGAACTGCTGTCAGATTTAGTGCTTTTCTGTCTCTGTTTATCAACAAGCAGGTTGCTAATATTCTAAAATTGCCAAGTCTTTCAAAATCCCTCCCTCAAAACTATCCAAGCATTTATTCAGTATTGTTAAAGGGGAATTGTATGGACCCTAAGAGGGTATCCCAGGAGCCATAAGATATGGCAGGTCTTGGAAATGTTACAAGGACAGCAGGTCTGCTCTTGAAAGGAGAGATTGGACCACAGACTTCTGATATGAGCTCCCTGAAATCCCTGAAAGTAGCTTCCTCCCTGGGATTCACAGAACTTCACAGAATCCACAGGACTTTCTGGACTCCAGCTACACTACTAATATGGCAAAACATTTAAAACAGACCTGAAGTTTTATTTTCAACTGGCTGAGAACCACTCACAAAGGAGGAAAAAGATGAGAAAAGAATCGTTCTCTACTCTCTTTGGCTATCCAGCAGAAGCCCAGCAGGACTGAACCCAAATCAGAAGAACCAGTATTAGAGCACTCCATCAGAGAGCTTAGGATTGCTCTCTTGAAGTCCCTCAGGTATAGTAAACTCAGTCATTCTTTAAACTTCTCTGTAAGTGGGGGAGCAGCATTGTCATTCCTCTTTTGCAAATGAGGGCTGAGGCTGAGATGATAGTAATTTATGGTTGGCCATATGGTGAATTAAAAGAAGTGGTGAAATGTGAATGCAGGACTTCCTGACTCACCCTTCACAATCTTTCTCCATGCTGTATCAATTTTCAGGGTCTGAATATTGTTAGGATGGCAATTCCCACATCTACCCTCCCTCCTCAGTGGATTTGGAGGGTTTATCTAGGCTCATAAAACATAAATCTACCTGCAAAATATATCCACCTATAGAATTAAGTTCATGTAACACAGTTAAAGGATGTAGTAGCTTAGTGCATGTGATCTGCTTTACTGTGAAGCCCCCCTCCAAATGCCCCCAAATCTTGTAATAATAAATCCCTTGTAAGAAACAGCCCTTGTCTTGAAAGGATAGCCTACAGCACTCTCAATCCACACATCATCTTACGAATTATACATTCCAGAGTAGGAATAAATGCAAAATTTGAATTAGCCACTTGCAACATATGGCATGTAGCTGAACAAAAAGAGGGCACAGGGGACTTTTAAAGTTTGCCTCACAAAATAACTAATGTGCCCATGTTCATTAAAAGCCTTGAGAAAAGACAACAAATGCAAAAGAAAAGGTCACCATATTGAAGATGCGGAAACAAAGCCTCCTTATAAATCCATATCTCTTGTTTCTAAGCTGATAACAAGCATAGGATATAACTGATCCTCTGTTCAAATAAAGTGACATCCACACAGAGTTCCTTTGAAGATGCCCAATTTCTTTATTGTTTGGGAAAACCAATAGGTATTCTATTTGCACCAGCTACTCCAAGAGAAAGTAACATTTGGTGATTTTTTGCTTCTATAAGCAGATATTCTGGCTCCCTAAACACTCACACACCCAACAGACACAATCAGTAGTGTGCAAGCTGCTCTCCTGTGGCACAGTCCCAGCACTGAAAAGTGAATATTGCCACAAAAAGGGCTTATAAGATCACAGTGATGTTCACAGGGGCGGGGGGGTGTCCACTTATTTTGTGGAAAAATTCTTACACACTCCCTACCAGTTTTGAATTGCATCACAGGGAAACAATGTCTAAAGAGGGATTGCAAGAATCCACAATGGATTCAGGTGTGTTTCCATGAGTCTGATCTGCAGATTCCAGTGTGAATTGTTTTGCAAACTATGCAAATCCTGTAGAGTTGTGGACTGTTTTTGGAGTTTTGGAAGAGCACATTAGCACAAATGAGCTAATCCTCCTTAGTTAACTAGAGCTTGCCAAGAAATTAAAACATTACCAGGGAAGCCAAGCTTTTTTTTAAATAAGATTAATAAAATTCTTTAAGGGTTTATTTTCCTGAATCCATTCCTTGAATCAAATTTTCTGGGTACCTTGAGTGCATAGCCATTACCAAGGAACATATACTTTATGCATTTACAATGCTAGCAGAATAAACAAACAGGAATACTATTTCTCCTCCCCAAAGAAGATCACACTCACATGATTGTGGAGGACATAATTTTGAGCATGTAATAAAATGTGATCTTCAACTCCCCTGCATGCGTCCTCTCTCAGCCAGCTTCCTCATTAGGGCACCCCCACAGCTGGTGCATTACTATTCCCTTTGAGTCCTGCAGCAGTCATATTTTAGCACCTGGAAGCTGAACTAAAGTCAATTGAAGTCAATAGGAATCCATCCACAGGCTTCAGCACACTTTGAACTAAGCCCTAAAGGGAGATCTTCCAAAAGCGTCTTGAAAGAGAATGTTTAACCTCACAAGCAAATGTGTTTGATGCAGTGGCCCTTGTAGCATTTACTTGAAAAGCAAACAGTGAACATCTTGCAGTGAGAGCTTAACTGTTTCACATTTCTGTAGTAACTGCAAGCTATGCAGCAGCTGGTCCTTTTCACCTTTAAAAAAATGTAAATCACTTGAATACTCAGTGGGGGATGGGGGTAAGTAGCTTGTTCAGTTTGACAATCTGAGTAGGACTTAGGCCTAGAAAGGAACATGGAAAATAGGTATATTTCTCATATGTGCATAATTATATGCACAGATAATGGACTAACTTGCACTACAGTTTGGACTCACATTGTCAGTTTACTTGACTGAGATGTACCATGGCATGTTACTGACCTCAACGATTGTCATTTTCAAAGGATACTTATTTTATTTATTAAAGCAGAATATTCTCCCAAGATGTTGGGTCAATAAGTCTAAATGCAACTTACAGACTTAAAAATAGCAATGAAAACAATCATTTAGGTCCATGGAAGTTGCCAAAGTGCAGCTTGTGTCTGCAACAGATGGGCAATGTGGAATAGAGAATGACAAAGCCTAGGCATAAATGAGGATATTCAAACAATGAGTGAGCAGAATCAGCAAGTGGGAATGCAACTCAGAGAAGGCTGGAGAGTCGAGAAATAAGAGTTAGATGCCACGCCAGATACACTTAGGCCTCATCCAAGCATCCAAACATGTATCAGATTCAGGGAGTTCATGGCAGCCAGCCAACCCAAAAACCAGGCAGTGGTATGAACATTCAGATTCCTTTTCTTTATTTATTCTATAGCGAAGGCAGCAAAGGCTTTTCCATCTTCTCCTGTCTTTTACCCCTTATAAAACTAGTGGTGTGATTGGCTGGTGTGTGCTTTACAAACAGGGCTGCTAATTCCTTTAGAAAGATGCTATGTCATCTAGCTTTTAAAAGTGTAAAAGAAAGGGGAGGGGAAATAAAGCCATCAAAAAACCTTCCCACATACAGAAGTATGCAACTTTCATATCCATCCTCCCACAAAAGAATTCCAGGAAAATTAATCACTATACCTTTATGGGATTTGTCTGTCATGCTTTTGGATGTGTGAACCAGCAATGTCCATTTTCAACTAGATTCTTTTAACATTGGCTCACTGCTCATCCCTGGATTTTTCCTTTTGGATTTTGGATCAAAACAGTTTTGCTCTCTGTTCATTTGTGTATCCACCACTTTAGAAAGTGGAGAAATCTTGGGCACTGAGGCTGGAAAAGATCACATGCTATAGGAAGGATCTATGGGAAAAGACAGTTGTTTAGGCAAGGGTGGGCACCATGTTTATCATGGGCAGCATGCAGCTTCTTATATAGAATCGGATAGTGCACTTTACTTGGGGCTGCCCTTGAAGATGGTTCAGAATAGAGCTGCCAGGACGTTAACAGGAACCGGCAAGTGTTCACATATAATGCTGGT